AAACTTTAATTAAAAATATCTTAATAATTATTTAATAAAATTTAGTATACTTTTTTTTATAAAATAGTTATTAAGATATTTTTAAATAAAGGTTTAAAAAATAATTTATATAAGTATTTAAATACTTGCATCAGAAAATTTATTAAGTTTAATAAAATTTACCATCCATCGCAAATTAAAGTTAAAAATTCTGCTGTTTCTATTTTTTGATCTACTTTCAATTTTGTATTATTATAAATCGTATTTAATAATTTACCAGCTACTTTTTTTCTTGAAGGAATTTTAAATGAAGGTCTTAATTTCTTAATCCAAATTCGAAATGATTCTTGTTCACAAAGTGAAAGAGGAAGACCACATTGAAAAATTGCTTCAGCAAAAGCTAATTCAAGAACATCTTGTTCATTTGTTGAAATATGATCAAAAAAATTTGTAATATCTTTATTTGGTGAAGGTTTTTTAGAAAGATTTGTTAATAGTTGAGAAGCGATCTTATGAGATGTAGTTTTTTGAGTATTAAAATATTTTTGAAAACTTTCTTCATCAATATTTGGACAATTTCTTAAATGATTTTCACATTTAATAACTGCCTTATTACAGGTATGTGGACAAAAATTACATTTAACTCTTGCTTGTTTATAAGGAGGAACTATACCAATATTAGTATAATAAAGATAAACAGTGCCTGGATTTTGTAGCATATTGATTTAATAAAAAAAATTTTATACGAAGGTAATTAAGAAAATTAACGCATTCATTATAAATCTAAAAAAATTATTTTTAGTAAGCGAATTTCAATATGCATAGAATATACTACTAACATATGCATTATCTCTGTAATAAGATCGTTTTTTGCATTACACCAAAATGCAGTCCAATATTTATGTGTATACACAAAATCCCAATTAATAATCGAATAACTTCTATGTATAATAAATGTTAGCTATAATTTTAGTGCAACAGTATTACATAGCTACGTATATACTTTATATGTAATACAATTCTAAACATAGAGGTGATCAATGCTATAACGATAATAATAAAAAAATTAACACTTATTATTATGTAATATACAAATACAAAAGTACGTACTACTTAAACCTTATAAAAATGCAATATATAACATAACTATATAGAGATGGATACGTAAAAAACAAATATTTCAAAAACATATGCATTTTTTGCTAAACAAAATTCAATCAAATTTCAAATTATTAATCAATTTTTACATATGTTACAAAGAATAATACATTTGATTTTTAAGCTCAAGGCATAATAAGAATTCAGCACAAAAGTTATTCCATAGTTCTAGCCAACATTATGTTAGTAATAAACCAAATTATCTTAATATCGGCTGAGTTAATGGTTAACACAGTTAAATGGTTATAAAATTTTGATTAAATATCATGTAAACAAAATATAATTATATGTATAGATTCGTATTAGTACTCACATGAAAGTACATTAACTCATATACAGTATTACTTTAGTAACGAAGCTATCAAATTTTTATATATAAATCTTGATGGGAAAAATGCGCATTTTTCAGATTCATGCGCATGAATGCGCATGGATGCGCACGCATGAATGCGCATCGGCCCATCTCTATGTATGACTAATTGCAACCTTATTAATATGCAAAATGTAATAATACCTTTTATATAAATAAATAGAATGTTATATTTAATAAAAATTTACAAAACCATAGAAGTCTCTCTTTAAATCTTAAAAAAAAACTTAAAAATATATTACCTGCTTCCGAAACATGATTTATTTCATTTTTAATTTTCTTACATCTTAATTAAATAAACATTTCTGGTTGTATTTGATTTGTATCTTGAGATACTAAAACTAATTAGGTTTTTGTTGGTTGCTATGTTTACGTACATCTTATTTTGGATTTTCTAAAATTTAATTTAATGCTTCTAGCTTCTGCTTCATTAAATATACAAAAATAACATTTATGACTTAGTGAATATTTGATTAATATAATTATGAAACTTTTTTACAAACCAACTTTCCAAGCATGGTGTATTTAAATGTTGTTTTCATTGCTAATATTTATTTTTTAATTTGTTTTGAATGAAAAAATCAATTATTTTTCAAATTCAGAGATGGCTTTAAGTAAATGAGATATTAATCCAATCTGAGAAATTTTATATTAGAGTGGATTGGTGTTTCGTGTCAACTTAGCCCTTGTAGATTCTTGTAGCTTTTACTTGAAGATAAAACACAGTAGATATGAGAGAAATGAATAAATAAAATATAATTATTATTCTGTTTGAGAATTCTACATTAATGCAAATGTACCTCTTTGAGATTCTTAAATGTTTTGTTTGAACAAGCACATTTTGAGTTTAACTGTTAATGAAAGTGTCTAGGTTTGTTGCATATGATAATACTAAGCTTTTCGGAACTTTAGAAGTAGTTTTCCCTGCACGTACAAACAACGCATTTGTTTTGGCGTTGGGAGATTGGTTTGACACTCAGTTTACTATGCAACGATATGTTTTTTGAGTGTCAGAAACCTTATTTCAGGTGATTTGTAGATCATTTGATAATAAAAATTGTAACCAATTAAAAGGTATGTTTACAGTTGTTTACCGATAAATACTTAGTTAATTTTATTGACGTTTACATCTATTCAGTGCACTGAGTCAAAATTTTAAAAATAGAAATAGGACCTTTTAAACTCTTACTTATTTTCAACAAAAAACTTACCCTATTAGTTAAATTTAACAAACGCGAAGTAGTGATGAAATTAATTTTATATACGTTAATATCAACCTCATATCAACCTTATTAATATTAACCTAGACAAAAAAATAGATTTCTATATATACAATTATATTTAAAATTTCCTTATACATATTCACTTTAATATGATCCCTCATTAATATCACTATCCACATGATATCTATATTACAGAAGAGAAAATTTTTATTCGGGTATTATAGAAAGCCAATCAGCGTGCATCACCAAGTGTAATTTAAAATTGAGTTGTTTTCTCTAAAACATTATCTTTATCTTAAAATTTTAGCATTTTAGATCCTAGACAAACAATTCCTCGCAAAATTTAGCATGAATTATACCCTGTTCCCATCTCAAATCTACTTTTATCCTAATCATAAGTAAGTGCTAAGTTTTTCGTTCACGTTACAAGGATTGCAAATACCACACTACGTGTAAAAATATTTTTAATACTAATATTTTTAATCTTATAAACTTAGCAGTAAAAACCATTAATTTTGCCACAATACCCATATTTACCTTATTCCATGATTAAGGATTAAGTGCTGTATCATTTCTTCCTAGTATAACCTATTTATAGAGGGTTCCTATTATGTCAAGAATTTGTAATCTTCTGTATGAGTTCTAGTTTGAATAAAAAAATAATGTGCAGTTATCTTATTTTATGTATTATTATTTTTAATTAATTTCAGCTGTCGAAATAATTTCAGTTTCGACAGTTGAATTTAATTTTAACTGTTAAAATATTTTAAAATTAAATTATTTTTCATCCTCATCTTTAATGTATATTGAACTTTATTTATGTTACAAATACTGTACGTATGTACTAACAGTAATTTTGTTCAACGAGACAAATGATTAAATGACAACGTACTTCTGTCTCACTAAGCAAAATTATCATAATCTATTAACGCTTCGTCAATATTGGTGCTATTTTTGCTATCTTGCAACCTATCTTGATTCACAAGATATAATTGACTAATTCAGAGAACGGCTACATTATAACACTAAAAAAATATATACATAAAAATAAAAAACTAAATAGTGAAAAAGGATTAAAATCTAGATATTAACTTTCTAATTCCAGTTTCCTAATAAATCAATTTTTATAAATAATTGAATCAGATTTAATACATTTTTACAAATCCTTATTGAATATCCATTTATTAAAGAAATCTAAACTTGCAATTGGCTGATCATGAGCTACCATATGCCCTGATTCAAAAATCCTCAGGAATGTTAATCCTTTAAACGTCCTAACATCACCAGAATAGTTACCAGTAGTTGTTATCCAACGAGTAACATTGGCATTATTAAAACCTTTGGTACCGCTCCATTTAAGCGCTTTCGTCCACGCATCACAACCTAGATAAAAAATCATTATTAATTAAAATTTTAATACAATAAAACCAAGACTAGTCTATATAAAAGCTTTTCTATCTTAGTGAATTTGTTATAATTTCATATATAATAAATTTAAACAGCCTTTTCGTTATTGGAGCAGATTACTTCATTAAAGATTTACTTGCAATTGCTTCAAGTCTTTTTTATAAAAATACATATTATATAAATTATTATATAAATTTAGTAGCAAAATACTTACCAAACCAATTACAAACAAAGTCAGCGTCGCCTATATAACATTAATTCATGATAAATTAAATAGAAAATAGAAAACCTTTAAAAAAATCATTTATTTATAAAATTACCAGCGTATACTAATACTCGAACATTGCTTTCCAAAAGAGATGGAATATATATGTCGAAGCGACGTACCCTAAAATTAAAAGAAATATATTATTAGTGAAGCTTTAACAACAAATTCAAATCATCTATGCTAATTAATTAATTTAAATTCTTACATATCACCAGTACTAAAAAATTTGCTAGAAACAATATCATTACTAAGTTGAAAAACTAACGAAGGATTAACACCCAATTCAATCTTAACATCTTCACGATTACAATATTTCGCGATATCTTGGATTTCTGGATAACAAGAAGCACTATTATCATTATTACATGATGCTCTTATATCAAAAATATTTCTATTGGAATTTCGATAAGGTTGGGACATTCTACCAAAACATTTTTCAGCAGTTACACAAACTGTTACATTTTTTGTATCATAACATGTTTTGGTCATTTTAGCACATTGAATATAATCTCTGCTCATCTGATTACATGTGGAAATATTTAATACTGGTCCATAGGATGATTCACAGGCCATTTTTGGTAAATATTTAAGTTGAACTAAAGCGTTTACTAAAGCATTTCCCATCAAAATGGATTTAAGATTGATATGAATAATATTCTTTGCATTATAAATATTATTATAATTGTTTATAACTGAGGCTATGGCAGGTATGAAATGTCCTGCATATCTGTTATAATAATAATAATATAAATAATTATTTTGCTTAAACAATTTTAATAATGATAATAAATATTAACAATACTTACGATTCACCGGCAATATGGAAATCTAAATTAACATATTGACGAAACTCTTGGAAAAAGATTTGTAAAAATACGTATATATCATATGCAGCGGCGAAAGTATCGGATACATATTCACCATAAGAATATCCTGTGTTAATTGGCTATAAAAATGATTTTATATGGTAGTTTGTATTATTATGATTATACAAAATACATATTAAATAATGATAAATATTCTTTTAATACTTGATCCAAGAAAATAAAACTAGAATTGTTATTCCATGAGTAAGGATTGAAAGTTGTATCATTTCCTCCTGGTTTAACAGAGCAAGGTCCAACTCCAAAGTATAAACCTTTTGTAGAAGGACTCCTATTATACATAATTAAAAATATAAGTAATGATAAAATAACAATATCAGGATGTGTGTATGTGTAACTCAAAATTTTCGGGCAAAATACAGTGCTATTTAAGATTGGGGCACAGAATGTGGTTTAGGATGACGTGAGCACGAAGCGTAATGCTTAATCGTCAATATGGACATGACTATTTACATATCAGATATAATATGCTACATAGTACTATTTTATGTGATGTAGCATCGTATCCCGTATTAATTTATTTTCTGTGCCCCAAACTGCTTAAGTTCTTAAATGTTAATAATTAACATGTTTTTATAAGCTCTCTATTTATAATTAAAGGATAGGAACATCACCAGATTATATAATAAATGCTATAGAGTTTAATCAAAAATTACGGCCAGAGTTAATTGCATCCAGTTTGACTCTGCCGAGATATTGTAGACAGTATGATAGTAAAAAAGTGGTGCAGTTATAATGAACATGTCATTACAGTGAGTCTACTATCAATACCCTTTGCATTGACTCCCTTGCCCGTCCCAGTCTTACGAGAGCTGATTTGCAGTTGTTTTCATAAATTCTGGAATAATTAAAAAAATTTTACTGATAACCAAGCCAATATGTTACGGTTTTGGGATTAGAGATGTGCCTTTGCAAACCACATACCGTTATATCTCGCACAAGATAATAAATATCCATAATATGCGGAATTTTAAATTCTGCTTTGTATGAAGTCCTGCTCGAGATCATATGAGTGACGAAAAGGGAAAACCTGTAAATCATTTCACTCATTGACATGATTTACAGGTTTTCCCTTTTCGTCACTCATATGATATATAAAATATATACTAAGTTAATCTCGCGTGAGACACATCTCTAGTTGAAATCAATAAGTACTCGATGTCGGCCGAAATCAAAATTTATCGACTTGATCTTCAGCAAATTTTTCATTTGTTCTAAAATTTACAAAAAAGCAGTCCCAAGACGGACTCTATGGATAGTGCTTAGGGCCTAAGCGCTGTTCGTAGATTTGCCGAGTAAGTCTGCGGACACCTACCTACCAAACTTTAAAGTATGTATACTATCACGTAATAAGTTTTATATTTACAGTATAAGTTAGGCAGGTCAGTCCTTAAAATGATCACCGATCTCTTCCAATCCTGCCATATATTCGCTTGGTGTAACAGATAATTTCTTGTTATCTGGCAGGTATAGCGTATACACTGACGAAATGGTTTTCATATTACGCTACAGAGCTTTATATTAAAATAAGCGAAAATTGTTTGCGTGCCCCATAATCACCTAACAATTTCATGCTCTAAATTTACCTTTAGCAACTTGATTGTTCAAATATTACGTGATTGAATAGAAATAATTAGGAGCATGAATTTTTGGACACGAAAATAATTTCGTAAAATAAATCTTAATCTGTCACTTGGTTTAATATAATAACGTGAAATTTTTTCGTCATTGTTTACTTAGTACCTGCCGAATTTTTATTTTTTTTAGTCCTAAGGGTTAGTCGCTGAGTTGAAAGAGATTGGAGATCGCATGGCTTGCGACATTTTCAACGATGACTATCGATACCTGTTTTTGTAGATCAGATCACTCGACCAGATACTAAACTAGTACTCCAAATTCAAATTTTGATTTGATTTGACAAAATTTTGAGAAATGTACTGTACATCCTTTATACTGTCAGATAAAATTTTAGAAAGTATCGTACCCTGGTCCACCGCTAAGCTATTTAATAAATTTGAATTTTTTGCTTAATAATTAAACAAGTGAAAATACAGTAAATTACTGCATTTACATACCCAAAGAACGATCGGATCTTCTTGAGGTTTACTTCTCGATTCGAAAAACCAAAAGAATAAATGTTTAGTGTCTTTAACATCAATATATCCTGAATACTAATATTTAAAATTTTAGTATTAAATAATAATCTAAGATTTATTACTTTAACTAAATTAATCAAATAAACCTGTTGAACGGTTTTATCACAAAGATTTGGTTGTCTTATCAAATTTATTTTATATTCAGAAAAAGCATTATGCGTTAAAATTTTTGTTCTTTGAGCCGAAGCTAAATGGCATAACAGTATTTTAAGAACTAGGAGTATGGCTCCAAATTTAAAGTGCATTAAAATAATCATTCTTTTTTTTCATAAAATTGTTTTATTAAATTGAATTCATCTTTTTATAAAATGTATTTATCGTATTATCAGGTACTTGTTTGTAATGAAAACACAAAGCCATTCATTAGTATATAATTATTGAATGCGTAGCAGCCAATAATATTCATTATATCGTATAATTATTTCTAATCTCATGATTTGGAAAGGTTGGTTCCTGGGAAATTGTTATGTTATAGACAAAATTTCATGGTTTACCAGGAATATAGTGTGGCGATGCGTATGGTTTTGCGGAGAATGAATGTCGTTTTTTATTTAGATGTACTCTTTCACACATTTATCACAATATTTAGTCTGAAATATGTCGCAGATTAGTAAGGTCGATTTTGATTTATATATAAAAACTACGTTTTTAATGTTTTTGCCTTTGCATGTAGTTGTTAAACGAAATTATTTTACATAAATGAATAACAAAACCACCAATGAAATGACAAAAGTCGAAACTTTCGACTAAAATCATATCCTCTAACATTTTGGAAATGGCTAAGCCATGTTAGTTAGAGAATGTAAATATTTTGCATAAGTTGCTAAGCAGAGTACGTGGCTTATGTAAAGAAATGTACAATAGCAATAAGAAAATCGATAGCTTCATTTATAATTAAATCGATTCAGCTTGAAAATACAAAGCCTAAAGCTTGTTTTTTTTTTTTAGCAGCGCTTATCTAATATCGCTTTGTGTAAAATAACATTAGTTCTTTAAAGTAAAGATCTAAATAAAATTTATTGTTAACTTACTAATAATTTTCTCTACCATTTTGCTGTTATAATTTTATTTACCATACATTAATAATATCGATATAGAAATTCAATGAATAATTTTTATTAATTACTAATCATGTTACACAAAACTTAACTTTATTAACCAATAAAATTCGTGAAGATCACAAATTGATTTACAAAAAATTAACGAAAGCCCACTATGCTCATATAGCTAGTTGTATTCTTTAATGTAAGAAGGTTCCTTAGAATTACTGTGTTCTAATACCAAATAAAAAGTTTCTAGTTTCAAAGAAGCTAAGTTTTTTTTTTAAAAAATACATAAATTAAATTATATATAAAATATTATATAATTTTTATATATAATAAGTCTTATTATTATATAAGCTTACATTAGATTTGTAAATCTATTGTCAGAGGTAAAACTGACACTCCAAAGAACCTGCGAAGTGATCGTCATAGTGACATGCTTACCTAATTGGTGGTGCCCATGACCAGTGTTGGAAATCTGTTTTGAAATTTATGTTTTCATGAGAACATGATTATTTTTTTTTTTTTTTTTGTTATGCCAAAGTAGAAACTTTATTAAGTAATAAAAGTAATTACATTAAAGATTTCTAAA